ATCGAGAAGAAAGTGATCGTAAAATTTTTAAATGATGTTGAGGAAGATGTGAATGTGAAATTTCATCTGCATTAAAATCGCCAAGGATGACTACGTGATAGTTATTAGAGCGGGCTTTATCAAGCCATAAATTAAGTTGGGCAAAAATAGCATCACGTTCTTTATAATGAATAGAGTGATAAGGAGGAAGGTAAACAGAAATAATAGAAATTTTTGTTTGATGGAAGAAAAGATCTAATTTTAATAAACGACCTTTCCAAGGATCGATCTTCTGAACATGTTTATGTAAAGGATGGCGAAGCAAAAGACCAACACCATCATGTGGTCGTGAATTACAAGGGGAAGGAGCCCAATAGGACTTAAAATTATATAAGGAATGTTCATTTTGATAAATAAATTTAGCACCAGAAGAAGTAAGGCGAGTATCATTTAAGGATAAAACGCCAAAGGAGGAATGGAGAAAATAATTTAACAAATGCAGTTGTCGAACAGGAGAACACAAACCATTGACATTGATTTGTCCAAAATTAATAAGGGGGGAAGAAGGAGAAGAGAGATTATTAGAATTATTAAAATTAGGTATCGCACTATTAGGGGGGTGAAATCCCTGTGATACACCCGATATAAATTGGTGTTCAATCATTAGAAGGGGAGGGTTTTGAAGGAGAGAAGGAGTCCAATTTTTCCATAATCGAACCAAGTTGGGCAGAAAGATTCTTTTGTGTATTAGTAACATTAAAGATTTCTGATTGCAAACGAGAAGCGTTAGCATCGGGGGTGGTATTAATAGGTCGGGAGACAGGTAAGGGGACATGTCGTCTTGATAGGATTGAGCTAGAGTCCAGGGCTGAGAAGGAAGCATCAGGAGAGACGTCCATAAGAGAAGAAGAGATATTGGGGGGAAGATTGAATCCAGAATTCGCGTCTTGGGGTGGAATATCATCCCATCCATGACTATAGGAATGAGTTTCTTGATCGTTATGAGGTGGGTACAAATCTGAGTCACCGGGATTAACGCTATCATAATTCATCATAGATTCAAGCTCGGAAATTCTATAATCATGATTCGTGATAGTATCCTGCATCCAGGAAACAGTTTCGTCAAGAGATTTAAGGGTAGTAGCAATCTCTTTAATCTGCGCCTTTAATTCATCAATAATATGTTGAGGAAGCATAGGGGCAGGATTGTCCGATGGAGAAGTAGGTGATGTAGAATTGACAGAATGAGGTTTGTGTGGAGGTCGAGTAGAACCGGAGGAATTTTTATTGTTCCTACGATTATTAGGATTAGTATTGTTCCGGTTGATATTTTGAGAAGTATTGGAACGAGAAGTGTAAGAAGTATTATTGTTGTTGTTGGAACGGGATGAAGAGGAATTATTATTGCGGGATCTAGAGTTGGAACGTGATCTTGAACGGGAAGTGGAATTGTCACGTGATTGGCGCGAATCCTGACGACCACGTCTAGGTCCAGCATTAAAACGAGAATAAAGTTTGTTAAGGCGATCATCCACTTTCCGAGTAGGACGTGGATTACATACAGAGGGAGAACAACCAGGACGCCCACAAACATGGCATAAAGTTTGTGCTTCATTGGGAGGGTGCCATGTTAATCCTTTGCCGCGAAAAGCCACGGTCATTTCTTTGGCAGCTTCAAGGGATTCAAATGAGGAGAAATTCAAATATACATAAGGTTTAGGTTTGTAAGAAATGATAGACAAAGGGAAGTTAAGGGCCTTAGCGTTGACTTGAGTAGCGATTTCTAACAGATCAGCTTCTTTAATATTCTTAGGGATGCCGGCAAGGATAGCAACATGTTCTCTGCGGATATCGCGTTGGGATTTCGAAAAAGATGCCGGGCAGACACGTAAAGAATTACCAAGGCAAATGATCGCCCAAATGTCATTAAATTGGGTAACTGCATCCGTGGAAGAAAACTGGATATGACCATTATAATAATGTTTTCGAGGAGTAAGTTTGCACTTAATAACAGTGCCATATCTGGAAAATGCTTGACGGACTTGAGTCTCAGTTAGGAAAAGCGGGATATCAGTGACGAACAAAGACTTCATCTCATCACTGAGTTTGGCATCTGCAGGGGAGTAATGCATAAAGACCAAATCAAGGAGATCGGCACGTGGGGAACTGACACAATCGGTATAATCATGCTGATCATTAAAGAAGACAAGGATCTTTTTGTTATCGCCTGATCCTTCGCAACGTGCACGAGCGCCATAAGAAGAGTAACGGGAGAGTGAACAATCTACTTCGTCACACATGGAGCGATTGGTAGTGAATTTAGCTTTGAACGCGTCAGGCGCGTCGCGTAAATATGCCGCAGCATAGTAACGAGATGGAGCGGATTTTATAGCGGCAGCATTACCATCGGGGGATGGTCGTCGTTCTGGAATATCAAAGGCGACAGCTTTGCCTTTACCACTGGGGGTAGAGGGAGCATGAATAGAAGCGTCAACAGTTTCAACAGGAGTGGTAGTATTTTGAGGAGATGTAAGCACTTGGACTTTGTTGACCGGAAGACCTGAGGGAGTGGTAGAAATAAGGTTGGGAGCTGAAGCAGAAGGTGAAGTTATATCAACATTCATAGCGTCATCAGAGACAACGCGTGAACGTTTGTTGGGCGCGCCAGCGGTACTAGTGGGAGATAAAGGTCGGTCTCCAGAGGGAGTAGAAACAACAGGACGCGGTGGCGGCGGAATATCCGGGTTAATAACAGAAGGAGCTGGAGTTGTAGACATAGTTTAGAGCTCAGTAAAGAGGAAAGCAACTGTGGAAATATTAATATTTTGAACGAGCACTTAGAAATTTTCGAACGAAAATTTCAAAAATAAATTTTATTAGTATTTTCAAAAATTCAGGAAAGAGTTGCGATGATCCTCTATATTTGGTGATTATAAAGAGATGTGACTATATAAAAAATTTCTTATATTTGTATAACATAATTCCGGCCAAAAATTAACATAATTTTAGCCAGAATTATACTTAAAACTTTATTGTATCGTAACTTCGCCAATATTAATCGTAGAGAGATGATCTTACCGCCATTCGATTCGTCTTGATGAGACAGTTCTAATGGTATAAAATACGTCGAAATCCAATCACTAGATTAATTTCCGAAATTAAAAAAATATTAATGGTTTTTGTGTAATAACTCTGTCAATATTGATCCTAGAAAGACGATCTTACTACCATTCGATTCGTCTTGATGAGACGAATCTAATGGTATAAGATACATCCAATCACTAGATCAATTTCCGAAATTAAAAAATATTAAATGGTTTTTAACTAATAACTCCGTCAATATTGATCACAGAGAGATGATCTTACCACCATTCGATTCGTCTCGATGAGGCGATTCCAACGAGCTATAAATCGTCTTTTTACAATCACTAGGTACCGAGAAATCTAGCAAAATGTTAAATGACGCAGTAAACGTAAATCAAGAAATATTATAATGCTGATGTTTAACATTTTGTTAAATAACTCGTCAGCCAGTGATCGGAAAAGGATAAAACTTTAAAAACTCTCTCCCGTTGCCCTCACGACAATTTTTACATAAAAATAAAATAATTTTTTTCAAAGTTTTTTATTACTTTTTCTTTTATTTTATCCTTCCTATTCTTTTTCAGGCCTATGGCCTCTTCTCACGACTTCTCAACTTTGAGTTGGGATGAAGTTCTTTCTAAACTTCGCGAAGTTGAGGACTTTTGCGCTAAGTGCGCCCTTAAACAAGAAACTCTTTTTGCTCGTTTCAACTCTCTTCCTGACAACTCTTCCGCCAAGTCACGTGCTTACCTCGCTTTTGGCCCCCTCCGCCTACTAGACGACTCTCTTTCTTTCTGAACAAAAACGCCTTTTACACTTGCGCTTGGACTCTCTTTCATTTACTGCAGATTCAGAAAAGGATTTCGCTATCCCCCTGTTGACGATCATCCATCACATGATGATCCAATAATTGATAATCTACCTTCTCTTCCATTAGCTATTTGGGCTTCTAAACACGAGGCTGATCCCAATATCATCTTAGATTTATGTACCCCTTCTACACGACGCACCAATCGTTTATGCCCTTCACAGCGTACTCCTAAATTTCTTTGTAAACGCGTATCCTCTATGATTTCCCCTGCATCCTTTAAGTGCGCACAGAAAATTAAGACAAAATTGTCTTTTACGCGTCTGGTTTTATCCCCTTCTACTATACGTTTATTGGTTCCACCTTTATCATGTCCTTCCGAACCTAAAAGTCCCTTTCAAAATACATTCCCAGACTCCTCTCTCATTACTCCCCGAATTTCAGCTTTAGAAGATATCGCTGATTATGACCATAACGTCCCTTCTCCGGTCCTTTCTTTAAATAGTACACCCGCGGGATTTTTACTGGCAACTTCTACTTCAGCCCCCCTCCTTCATGATAATGTACAGTGTTCATCTTACACTTTCACTATACGTACCATCCTGGATGGATGGATACGTCCTGCTCGAAATATTGGCTCTAACCGTTTATATTCTATTCGCCGTGGCAACTGTTACTTTCTTTTGGACTCCACTCCTGATTCGGATAATTGTTATTCAATTCATACCAATTCTCCTCTCCTTTCAACTACTGATCCATTTCAATTTATATCTGACCGTCCTTCTCCTAACTTGAAATTTATTTTATCAAAATTTTTAACCTTTTTCTTTTACCGACAAAACCGTATTCCCTCCCATGCTTGACGTAAATATTTTAATAGGTTACGCCAGCTTTATTAACACAACGTGTTACCTCTCTTGCCCGTTGGTCATCTTCTCATCGTAATAATAGACGTACTAGTACCTTTATTCAATTTCAATATCATCAATCTTGCTTTTACCTTGGCCTTTATTTTGGTTGCCCGTTTTGCAAGACTCCTGCTGCCTATGTTATGTCTCAATTTCGTCATGCTTGTCATATTCATGACAGGAAACTTGTTCACACTCCTTCCCCTCCTCCTTCCCCTCCTTTCACTTTACCTTGTAATCGTATGTCCAAAAGACACGCTGATGGTTTTTATAAAGATGTAACTTCCCGACGCCTAGGAGTTTCCTACCACAAATCCTATGCTTTCCATCATGTTCTTGAGGATGACAGTGGTTTACTTTCTGCCTGAACTCTTATCTCATATTCTGCTCACAAGTCTATCTCCCACCCTACGAAGAAACAACTTGCCCGTCAAGTACGCCATAAAGACCTTTTATCAGACCGGAGAAAATTTTCACGACATGTTGTTCACCCTGATCTTCTTGACTCTTCTATGTGGATGGCCACTAAGGATCATGCTATAGTCATTCCTCCTACCTCCTATAATTTGACTATATCTACTACTGATTACTCTATTGTCCAGAATATACGTAATCTTGTATCCTCGCATCCTGACGTTTCCTTCTGTTTGAAAGAACGTTCACCTCACTCTTCAGTTGCGTTTGTATCTTCTAAGTTTACGGGTTCTATCCAAAAAGTGGTTTTGAATCCCTCTTCTGTAGTTGCAAGCCATTGTTTTGAATCCCTCTTCTGTAGTTGCAAGCCATTGTTTTGAATCCTTCTTCTGTAGTTGCAAGCCATTTCATTACTGACAAACCCATGTCTGGTCCTTTTGTTGGTCTGAACTGCCCTGTTATTGATTATCAAAATTTCAAAACTCTTGGCTTTAGTCGTTCCATTATTGATATGGTCCGAAGGATACTCTCGAATAGTGCTTCCATTTATGTACCTTCTCACAATTTCCTCTGGTTATTAATTTCCAAGCACAACACTTCCTCGGTATCAAAGAAGTTTCTTTGCGATGCCATCCAATCTGTTATCACCAAATCGGCTTCCTCTTCGACATTTTCACATCTTTGGAATAGTGATACAAGGTTTTCTTTCAAACTAGGTCGTGTTAAACCTTGTGATATCTTAATGTTATTGGATGTTTGTGCACCTTGGTTTGATTCACATCCTTACCCTGCTTCTTCCGATTTCCGAACACCGTGGGATTTACCCGCTGATTTTGTTCATCCCATTTTTCTAATGCGCTAATTGCGCTGGTTTCTTATTAATTAATTACTTTCCTTTAATTATTCTCTTTTTTTCACCTCTTTCATGCTTATTTTAAGCTTTCCTATTTCCCTTCCTCTTTCTTTATGAATACAAATTTTATCATTCTGTATCGGAAATTTATATACAGCGCTTTAGCGATTGATGAATTTACTCTATTGAATTACAAAATTTTACAACATTTTATGTCAGCCAGAATTTACACATAAAACTTCGGTTAAAGATTAATTCGACTAGCTTGCTAGTGAATGTTCTTTTCCATGCTTGGGAAGAGTCGCAGGGTATCTCGGCTGCTTCCAAATTACGTGGCCCATCTA